AGAGAGAGAGAGAGAGAGAGAGAGAGAGAGAGAGAGAGAGAGAGAGAGAGAGAGAGGAGAGAGAGAGAGAGAAAACATTGTTATTACTAAAATATGAGAAAGGTAAGATGATCACGTACTCCTATATCTTCCTGACAGTCTCATCTTAGATTGTTACATGAAAGTTACCTCTGTACAGATTAATAAGGAAGCAGTGTAAGTAAGAATGGCTTTTTTTCCCAGATGCCCACCTTAAACTTCGGTGGGAAATTACACTGTTTTGGAACAACATCTCAAAAACAAAGTGGATTGGGTCAAGGCATGGGGACTTTGAATCTTACCATGTTAGAGCTTGGTTTATGGACAAAATCAATAGGATGTCATTTAGTCCCCACCCTATTCTGACTAACGCAAGCTTATTTAATAGCAAACACTCTATGTTGCCAAACATATACTGGCCTGTTCTTAGTCACTAAAAGCAAAGGAATTCTGCTGTCTCTTTGGAGAAGCAGGGGGCGAACATCACTTTGAATTTGAAGAGTCCCATGGATACTTTTCAACTCCAGTTACAAGTCTAAAACAACTGAAGAGGAAACTAATCAAGCCCAAGATAGAATGTTCTTGTTCAAGCAACTCAAATCTTCCTGGGTGGGGGTGGATGTCGTAAACGTATATGCACGTTATTTTTATTGGCAACTTTATACCCTCAAGATCCACCTCCATCCTTCCTCTCACCCCTCTCTCCCTTCCTTCCTCCTTGTCAGATATGAACTTAGAGTAATAATCTGGAACACTGATGAGGTAGTCCTGGAGGATGATGATTACTTCACTGGCGAGAAATCCAGTGACATTTTTGTCCGGGGGTATGTACATGCGGCCCCTCAAGGCCAGCTGGGTATTCTGTGTGTGAGCTTTCTGTGATTTTGGTGCCGCTTGGCTCTCAGGTCTCTGCAGAAAATGGCTGATTGTTTCCTAGGCAAAGCATCTGCTCTGTGCAGGCAGTAGTAGTGGATACTTTGCTTCCTGCCCCTTTCTTCTGTTCTGTGTTGTTTTTGTTCTTGTGTGCCACTGTCTGCTGTGAGTGATAGCTAGGTGTGAGCTTTTGGCAATTCCCGAGAACATCAGTGAGGTTATCCTGAAGGTGATGAAGTCAGTCATGGTAAGGAGTCATTGACCAAGACTTACTGCTCAGCCCATCCAAGAGGCAGAACTATTTGAGCAAGAGAAAGCACAGAGGTGTTTACTTTTGATCTTTTGTAACTCCTGTGGTAGAGGTACCGCCATTTACATCTGCCTAGTGTACCTTCCTAGTTTTCCATAAAGAATTCCATAAAGCTCCATCAGCTCTACCAATACTTTCACATAAAGTAGGGAAGTGCAAATATTGGTAGAGCCAAAGAACTGCTTTCAAAGCAATTTCCCCTAGCAAAATAAAGTCTGTGGAGAACTAAGAGCATTCTGGACCATCTAAAGGTATTTTTGCTGTTTTGATTTATTTTGTTTCCCATCTATTAATAGTCTCTTTACAAAGTATTATTTCATATGTCCAACTACATTATGTGCACACTTAAAAATGTGAACAAGTGTTGGAAAATCTGTGCATCACAGAGTAAAAAATGAAACTGTCTGGTGGTCTCTAAGTAAGGAACCCTTGAGTTATTTTATTAGGTGCATGCCAATCCATCTTATGTGACATAGGAGCTGTAATATAGTTTCACTGGTTTGACCAGAATACTGTTGAACACATGATATATTGAGTAGAAGGAAAACAATGAATCTCATAATGATAAAGCAACCAGTGACTTATACAGAAAAGAAAACAATTGGACATCATTTTGATATATAGCCCCCGTCTTCTCTTTATGGATCATCAAGAGGGACATTTTCATTCATATATGTGTGGAACTGTCAGTGCTCCAGTGCACATGCACATTCACTCATATTTAAGCCAGCATGGAAGTCTGGAAGCAGAATTCCTTGCAAGCCAGGATCTACAATAAGGAATCTAATCAAAGAGATGTCAAAGAGGAGGGAGGGAGAAGCCTAGAAGAAGTATGAGATCTGTCTGATAAGCTAATGTCAGTGAGACAAACAATCCTGGAATAGATTGATCATTAGTTTCAACTGCGATGAGACATCTTCATAGGAAAAGACAAGTGATCAGAAACATCTAAAACAAAAGTAAAAAAATGAAGTGGGCATATCTAGATGTTTCTGTTAGCTAAGCAAATGGCTTAGTATAAACTGTTCTGCAGAATATCTAAGTAACTCAGAAGCAACTCATGGGCTGATCCTAGAGGGAGAAGATCCCGGTCTCTTTTTCCTTGACCCTTCTTATGGTAGAGGCACCAGAATGAGAAGATTTTGACTCTTAGTCTTAGGTGGTTCTAAAAAGGACAAATACAAAACAAAACAGGAATGGGTTATGTATTCAATCCTATTTAGAGTTTTTTTCTACTTAAAAAATAGTCCGCTTAGTAATTTGGGATTTTCTCTTCCATATTTGCACAGTCCAATGAACTGTGGTCTCCAGACATTGGAATAATAAAAAAAGCCCAGTCACCTGTTGTACAACAGAACAGTTTGAAGATTTCTGCTGCTGGGATTTATGATGGTGCAGTGATTTGATTGTTAGAGGGCAGGGGCACCACATGCCTTCCATTCAAGATACAGCCTAACATTTCACAGATGTAGTTTTACACCTTCCCAGTTAGATGCACTTCTGCCAAACAACCCAGTCTAAGATAAATAACACACACACACACACACACACACACACACACACGTACGTAAAGGGTGATTTTCTTCTTTCAGACTGAATGTGGAGTGTTCTTGTCTTCTGCCTTTCTGCATGCTTTGGGAAATCGAAGTGGTAGTGTGGGTGTTCTGCTTTTTGTGAACCACAATTCTCAGTCAAGAGGCAGAAGCCTAGCTTGGCAAGGAGATTGTGTGGATGGGAGCATTGAACAAGGATGGCTTGCTTCTCTATTGCATGCTCTGGAGGATGGGAAGCGCATTTTGGACAATCATTTGGGGACATGTCAGGCAAAGCGTTTCATTTGAGCAGAAATAATCTCATCCCAATGGAACAATCAACCTCACAGAGCACATGGTCTGTTTTCAGCTGTATCAAGCAGAATCATGCAAATGCTCAGCATGAAACTCCTGGGGAAATCTATGAAATAATTTGACAGAATTTCCTGATATTTGACTGTCATTTCTGAAAACCATCATAAACTCAACATTGGTTATAAAGGCAATATTTCAAGGCTAAAGCTGAAAAATGACTATTTTTAGTGTCCAAGAATTTATTAGGAGGTTCAGAGGGTTGTTTGTATTGGAAGGCAAGGTTGTTTCATAATTAAAATATAACACTTCTGGTATCCCCAAATGAATGTTGTTCCTTGAATTCCAATGGGAAATGTTCTTGACATGTGCCATGAGAGGCAACTCGAGAGAAAGAAAAATTATAGAAAATACAGTACTTCCTTTCTATCTCCATTCTCTGCTTAAGAAAACAATTCCAAATTCTGTAGAATAGGTATGAATTCTACTTAAAATATAAAAGTTCACTTTAACATTAAGCAATGCAGTGATGTTGTGAAATAACAATTTTACTGCCTTCATTCAGAGTAATCTCTGGGACACTTGGACTTCTGAAGTTCATGACTGATGCATTTTGAGGTCTTTGCCTCTACTTTTTGTCACTTACAACACAGAGTCACACTCAGGGAGAAGACTTTTAAATCCAATATTCCTCAGTCTGTTTCGTCTCTGTGAGATAGTCGAAATCAGGAAACAGATACTTCAGAGATTACAAGAATGCCACTCTATTGTTGAAGGGTATAACAACAGAATCTTAGAATCTTCCGTATTTCTTACTTACACTTTCCATTTAATCATGGTTATGATTTTTTTCTCCCTTTGTGGCTCATCTGTTCTTTCACTAAAGTTACATCTATATTCCATTGGTTCCTTTTAAAAGTATTTGGTTTGCATTAGTCATTGCCCATTATCATTCTGGCTGTGGATGATGGGACTTGAAGTCCAACCCATAGAGAAGATACTAAATTGGATTCACTCCACATCCTCATGCTCTCCTCCGTCTCCCTGCAAGCAAAGCTCTCCATCTTCCCAAACTATATATTGCCATCCCTCTCCACTGCTGATTGAGTTGATCCAGAATGAACTCAATCATTCAATGATATGGCTGGGGTTCCCTCCCCCCCCCCAATCTCATCCTTTCTTCTGATCAACTTCCTTGCGTTTGTTCATGCAGGTGGTTGAAGGGCCAGCAAGAAGACAAACAGGATACTGATGTCCACTACCACTCACTGACAGGAGAGGGCAATTTCAACTGGCGCTACATCTTTCCTTTCGACTACCTTGCAGCTGAAGAAAAGATTGTTATTTCTAAGAAAGAGTCTATGTTCTCCTGGGATGAAACCGAATACAAGATTCCAGCCCGACTCACATTACAAGTGTGGGATGCTGATCATTTTTCTGCTGATGACTTCCTTGGTATGTCGGAGGCCTTGATTGCTGATCAGATTTAACTTCTGGAAGGCAGATGTTCCCTGGATCAGAAATACAACTGGAACTGAAGATGGGCTGGCATAGGGGTTGATGGATAATCCTCTCAGGAATAAGTAATAAGCAGAATTTAAGACTGTGGGGCTGTCATCAGTAGTTTATTTTATCAAACTTGCACCAATTAAAATGAAGATGACATACGTTAATCTGAAACTCATTAATTTTAGCATTTTGGAATGTTCCTTTAAAAGTAGAAGTTGGTCTTATAAATCATGCTCCTTTTCAACTTAAAAGTTGAGCCAAAAAACCAGAAGATTATAATATTCTGATTTATCTCCAGCAGTCCTTGTCTCACAGCTAAGGGAATCTTCAATATTCTTCCCTTCTCTTCATACTTCCATAGGAGGCATTGAGCTTGACTTGAACCGCTTCCCGCGTGGTGCTAAGACAGCCAAGCAGTGCAGCATGGAGATGGGAACTGGTGAAATAGAGGTGCCCCTGATCTCTATCTTCAAGCAGAAGAGGGTGAAGGGCTGGTGGCCCTTTTTGGCTCGAAATGAGAATGATGAAATGGAGATGACGGTAATGTTGATGTGGGAGACCTGGCATTGCTGTGTAAAGGAGAGAGAGAGATGGGAAAACCTAGAGCCAAGACAATTGGGAAAAGATTATTCTAGATTGTAGGAGTGAAAGGGAAAGTCCCTAGAGAGGCCCAGAGAAATGATAAAAAATTATGAGATGAGCAATAGCTCACAAGTAAGGACAACTCACACAAGATAGATGAAGGAATAGGTTGTGTGACTTTATAAGAATAGCTCAGTGCTTCCTTCCAATTCTTCATGTTAATGGGTAGGTGTTAGGGATGAATATGGTAGAGAGATGAGCTTGCTGGAGACATGCATACTCTATTGCCAAATCAACATAGGGTAAAATACCTTAAGTCCACAATAGGCAGATAGCATTTGTAAGTAGCTCAGACATTCAGAGAAATATAAGAAAGGGGAGGAGGTGCATAGTAAGACTTGCAAGATTTGATGTCAGTGCTACCAGGTAGATTAAATCAAGACATAATCTCCAAAGGAAGGATAAAAATAATTTTATTGAGATGGGCTATATTACATGTCATTGTGCTATACCTCTTCCCCTTTCTGTTATTGTATTTCTGTGATTATATCTAATATATGATATACTATATTATATTTCTGTGAATTAGGAAGGTGTCTGAGCCATTTATGAAGGCTATCATAACAACCATGGTGGAGTAGTGGTTAAATGTAGTACCTCCGGCTACTCCTGCTGACTGCCAGCTGCCAGTGGTTCAGTAGTTCGATTCTCACTGGCTCATGGTTGATTCAGCCTTCCATCCTAAACTGAAGACGCAGATTGATGGGGAAAACATGCTGACACTGTAAACCACTTAAGAGAGGGCTGTAAAGCACTGTGAAACAGTATTTAAGACTAAATGATATTGCTATCTTTTGGTTGTGGATTTAAGAGATGTTGCTTTAGTAACAGAGCTAGGATATTTTAACAATGTGGGGTGTGCCCCAACTCTCCTATCATTTTGTAAGGGCCTAAAAACATGGCTTTTCCGGTCAGCTTGGGAACAGAGCAATGGAGGTGGTTGATTAATAACAGATCTCACCTTCCCTCCCACTCTACATGTATCCCACCGCATGTATCTTTGATTTTAATGCTTGCTTTTATAAAAGTAACAATAAATAAATATTTCCATCAAGATCATTTCCATACTCTCTACAAAGGTCTATACAATGTCCTTCTTTATCACACAAAAAAAATTCACCTGTATCTTTGTCTTATCGAAAAATGTAGCCTTGTTCATTCTGAAGGTAACCCTCTCTGTGATCTTTTGATCCTCCTGCAGGGTAAAGTGGAAGCTGAGCTTCATTTACTGACAGCTGAGGAAGCTGAGAAATGTCCAGCTGGATTGGCTCGTAATGAGCCAGACCCATTGGAAAAACCCAAGTGAGTGCATGGGAAAGGATGATGGGAGCAAGGATATCCAAGCAGGCTGATAACCTGTATCCTGTGTAGATACTGAATTGGGGAGGCCATGGGAAAGTTTATAAACACACGGTACTATGGCAGAAAGCAAAATTAGACTGCCTCTACTGTCATCACCTGTCCTTCCCCATGACTCCATTCAGTTGTTCTGTCTTTCTCTTACTTGTGTGTTTTTGGCCTCTCTCTTCTCGTTGCCCCACCCTGCCCTAGCCGCCCAGATACCAGCTTCATCTGGTTCCTGAACCCTCTCAAGTCCATCCGCTACTTTATCTGGCATACCTATCGTTGGCTTCTGCTGAAAATCCTTCTCCTCGTTCTCTTGCTCCTTATGATTGGCCTCTTCCTTTACTCTATGCCTGGCTATCTGGTCAAGAAACTTCTCGGGGCCTGAGTAGGCTTCCTTCTTTGCCCAGGGTATTTCTGTTTTTCCACCTATTCGTGCTTACAGTATCATTTTAATGCCACAATAAGTCCATTGTAAATGTAGGCTAGCTGAAGTGAGGATAGTAGATAGCTTGCAAATTATAATACTGCCATTACCCAAGGTAGTATGAGCCTCGGTAGCGCAGTGGTTAGAGGGCAGTACTGCAGGCTACTTCTGCTGCTTGCTGGCTGCCTGCAATTTGGTAGTTCAAATCCCACCAGGCTCAAGGTTAACTCAGCCTTCTATCCTTCCGAGGTGAGTAAAATGAGGACCCAGATTGTTGGGGGCAATATACTGACTCTGTAAACCGCTTAGAGAGGGCTGTAAAGCACTGTAAAGTAGTATATAAGTCTAAGTGCTTTTGCTATTACTAGAATGCATGTTCTTCTATCCAAAAGTGTAAGGGTTTGCTAATGTTATTGATTGAGTGGTTTGACACGTTCAGAGATAGTTTTCTTGATGATTGTATCAGATTCTTGCAGAATGGAATTAGGCTTGAACACAAGCCATGCAATTAAACATTCAAGTCCTAAACATCCAAGAAAAAAATTCTTGGTGAGGAGAAAAGGAAATTCAGAAAACCTCTAGCTCACAAAAATCCCTCCAAAACCTGAGTAGCCCATTATACTCTTCCAAATGGCTGAGCCTTGTGTTATGAAAATTGCATCCCAACATCCTGTCAAGGATTTATGGATGACAAGCTGCTTTACTGGGGCTTCTGAAGCAAGATTGCAAAAGATAAAACCATTTTTGTTAGCTTGGCATTAATGACTAGTAGCCACCAAGGTCTGGATAGCTTTCTAACCCTTGTACCTTACCTTTACTGACACAAAAGGATTTGTCAAGTATCTGGTGGGTGATGAACAAGGCTTGTTGTTGTGTTTGATTTAGTGTCTCATCAAGAATTTTTTGTGTCATCAGGCCAACAATAGGATAAATGAGAAGGTGCCAAATCTTGCTTATTTTGGTAGCTTTGACATATTTAAAGAAACAATTTGCTATTGAACAGTGGGTATTCTTGGGATGGTAAGTTGTAGACAAAAGTTGAATGAATCATCTCAAAGAACAATTATCCCCATTAATCTTAGATATTTTCTTTTTGCTTTTCAGCCGTCCAGACACATCCTTCATCTGGTTCCTGAACCCACTCAAGTCTATCAGATACCTCATTTGTACCCGTTACAAATGGCTCATTATCAAGATTGTCCTGGCTCTTCTACTTCTCATCATGGTGGCCCTTTTCCTTTACTCCATGCCTGGTTATATGGTCAAGAAGCTTCTGGGAGCATGAGACAGCTGCCCTATTCTCCCATTTCTGACCTGATTGTCAGAAATAGCCTTTCATTTCTGTTTCGTAGTTTCCTTGTGTATTTTTGGATCTTTTCCTTTTTTAAAAAAATTGAGAATTGCTTTATTGTTGCTTTATGACTTCAAAAAGGAAGTGTGTCCTCCCTTCCAAGGTTCACTGTAAGTTCTTTTCAGCACTGTCCTTCAGTCTCTTCAACAACCTAATGCCTCCCCTCTCACATTTATTTGTTGTTACCTCAATTTCAGTGTCCTCCACGTACGAATTAATCTTAAATGGAATTACCTTGACAACCAGGATTCCATTTTGTGTGGATTGCATTTATCCCACTCCTTCTGGGTTTTTTTTTTTAATTGTTTTCTTCCTTTGCTGATATCACAAAGTGTATCTCCCCCAAAAGCTGAAATTTCAACGCATTTCTGTTCATATTATATTTGGAGTGATCAGCTACTTAAGAAATCTTGGCATATTTTCTTGGAATCTGATGCTGCAGTTTCCCCTGACTAAGAAAAGAGTTTGCCCCCTGCTTCCCTGACAGTGTAACAGTTTATTGCAATGGAAAATATGAAGGCTTGCCCTTCCAAGGTTTTGCACGAACATAACTAGCAACTTCTTAGCTTCAGACAACAAAAGAAGATAAGCCGTCATTTTGTTTTGTTGGAGTGTGTAATGTAGTGTCAAAAATGTGAACTGCAACGGCCCCAAGATATGAGTTCAGTTCATAGGCAAATTATTATTTTCCTCATTTTAGTTCCTTCTTTGCAATTTGTTGTGAGGTGCACATTATACTGAAATAAACTAAAATTGACACACTTCAAAACCTAATTATTAAATAAAAAGAGCAGGCAATTCTTGCTCAATCTTGAAACATTCAATGCTTTAAAAACATCCTGGAATCATTAAAGAAATATTGCTTGGATATGCACCTGTGAACACAATTATACTCCATTAATGCAACTGGGAAATAAAAGAATTTTCATTTTTTTAAGATGACCACTATAATGGGATTGGTTGTGCTCCTTGGACAGGTTTTTTTTATATTTTCCAATTGGAAGAACTGACAAATTCAGCTTTGTAGAACATTGTGGAAAGGCAATGTTTCATAGAAGGCCAAGATGTTCTTTTGAACTTTTAATTATCACGTATAAAGCTGGTAAACAGCTGCTTTTTATGGTATGTGATTCAACAGGAAGTAGGATCAGCTGCTGAAAAAAGTAACCACCAGAATAAGAAGTGTGGTAGGGTTGGGGAACACATTATAATGCTGTTTCCTTTTTAATGGAAAATTATATCATAAGTATGGGTCTGATGGTAAAGCCCTCTACACTGGATGAGAGCAGGAAAGATGGAGTGAAATATCCAGCTTGACCTATTAAACTCAGATTATGCTGTGGGAATGTAGGCAATGCCAAGTGATACTGAAGGAAATCTAACATGGCCAGTTGATGCTATTATCATTTCCCAAAACTGGGTATCTCTTCAAAGCCCATACATATTTAGTTCAATCTATCCTCCCATGCACATTCAGTCCTCTCCAACAGAGAGGACCATTTAAAAGCATCTTTCTTAATTCAACGGTCCCGTGCTCCTAAGCATCATCTCTTTAACATGAACACATTAAGATGCTGTTCATCTTATTCTCATTCTACCTGTTTCTTAACCTACTGTCCCTGCTAAGAGTTGGTATCCAAATGTTGGTACCATTATGGCACCAAAAAGCTGAATGGTGTGTTGTGAGTGACGGTACAAATTTTGTCACTTTGTACTTGCATCATGCACTGGAGGGTGCAGGCTGTGATGTCACGGCACATATTTTATCACATGCTACCCTGCCTCCCTCACCCATGCCTGGTACCTAGGAGACATAATGTGTATGTCAAGTGTGGATGTGGACTTTACATCACTAACACATTTTCTTGCAAGCCAGTTGCAGAAGCATGCAAGGTGGGAGGGAGGGTAGCTACAACTCCTTCTAGTTTTAAATGATAATAATTGTTTCTGTTAGACTTACGTTATGAATCAGATACCTCTCCCAAACATCTGCTCGATAAGCAAGTCTACCATGCTCTAGTATCATAAGGCAAAGGTCCCCAACCTTTTTGGCACCATGGACTGATTTTGTGGAAGACAATTTTCCCACAGATCGGAGGGAGAAGGGATGGTTTTGGTTTCACTCACCGCTCACCTCCAGCTGTGCAGCCTGGTTCCTAATAGGACACAGACCGGTACTCACCCATGGCCCGAAGTTTTGGGATCCCTGACATAAGGGACCTGCAATAGCTAAAACAAGCAAAAAATCTGCCTCTCCAGGAGGCAAAGATAACTTACAAGTTGGAAGGAGATGTGATATCCTAAGCGTTAACTGACCAGATTTCTAGGAAAAAAGAAACATAGCACAATTGCACTGCCTTTTTGCTGTTCTCCTTCACAGCGTAGCACAAAGTGAAGTTTCTGTATTTCATGCTTATTATTTCCTGGGTTGTGTGAAAACTATTGCTTTTATTTCCTTACAGTTGTGGGGTGGGGTCTGATATTGGTAGGGGTATTTTTCTGTGCGCTGTTAATATAGTATCTCTGGATCAAGAGAAAATCTGTACATTCTTTAATAAAAATGGATCCCTGAAAGCAACAGACTCCTGTGTGTAATAATTACATAGGGGAGACGCTGGGGAAAGCCGCCATGTTCCTCAAAATAGAAAACTATAGCAGTAGACTTATAGCAATAGCAGTAGACTTATATACCGCTTCATAGGCCTTTCAGGCCTCTCTAAGCGGTTTACAGAGAGTCAGCATATTGCCCCCAACAATCTGGGTCCTCATTTTACCCACCTCGGAAGGATGGAAGGCTGAGTCAACCCTGAGCCGGTGAGATTTGAACCGCTGAACTGCTGATCTAGCAGTAGCCTGCAGTGCTGCATTTAACCACTGCGCCACCTTGGCTCTTTTATCTACTATATCTACAGTCTACATCAGAAAAGCAGTTCTCAATTAAGGATCCCACTTTTCTTTTACAATATCTTGTGATCCTGGTCATGATAGTCTTAAAATGTATCTGCAAGCTTCTAAAGATGGCAGACCATCTTTAGGAAAGCAATGACACTCTTCCTTCTTTTATGTGAACTAGAATGTTCTGGAAATGCTCAGTTGAGTTTCTTTCCAAGAACATCTTTGCCTTGTAAGCACATTCTGTGCTCTCTTACAATATGATTTCCAGACACTTGGTCTTCCTCTTAGTGTTTTAATAGTCTATCTTGAAATCTGCCACATGTCTGCACATTGCTATTATTTATAGGCTGTAAAGCACTGGGTTGTGACAACACATTTTCCACACACTAATGATCATGGTGGAATGAAGGATCTCAAACCGCATGGCTTAGTGCAAGAGAAATCCAGTCTCAGTCCTACAATACAGTGTACCTTTGTGACTTCTTTTTTCCCATCAAATTCATATTCATATTCAGTGTTTCTTTGGGATTATATTTCAAATATTTGAGAATGATAAAAGCTGCAATTGCAAGTCTTCAGAGGCTCATGATGCCATCCAATTACAGACCCTCCACCCCAGCCTCATCACATGTCTCCTTGGGTAACAAGGATGAGTCAGAAGAAATGGTGGTGTAATTAAATATTTATTTGTCATTTGACTTTTAATTCTTTTCAAATGTTCCCCCCCCCTCAAAAAAATAAATAAATGTTTGGAGTCAAAAAGACATCTTGTTTATATAGTCTTAAAATTTTATGAAGGATAAAGTTTTCCCCGTTTTCTGAAATATGTCAATATGGGCTTTGTCAAATCACATTGAGTTGTGGTTTGGGCATGTATCAGAATATTTGCAAAGCGGATTTAATGTGCCTTAGTTTTAGTTTTAACTTAAGTTTTTATTACTCTCTATATACATCAGTGCTGCCGTCATGCTAGAAAACAGCTGTGTGTCTCAGTTTAACTCAGGGACAACCAATCTATGAGTTTTCAAACAAGCACCTCAAAACAACTGAGGGGCTTACATGCTGAAATTGGTTATGCCCACTCTTGCCTCTTGGGGAGTTAAGTGGAGTTTATCGGACTACTTGTAATGATCCGGACAAGTAATGAGAATATTTCCCAATAACAAACCCACACCTCTTGCACGGAAGATTATCATGGGTTATTCATCTGCAGATGCAGTAGGTGGGTTGGTGGGATGAGCAACGCAGCATTGGCCTGTGACAAACAGAAGAAAAGAGATTAAGGCTCCCTGGTATCCAGCTCAATTTCAAAATAAAAGTACTCTATGTCAAGGTACGCATGTTTTATTGAGAATTAGCACTGGCTCTCAAAATCTAGAGATTAGATTAAATAAAGTCTGTTCAGAATGATTCTAGAGCAGTGTTTCCCAACCTTGGCCACTTGAAGATGTCTGGATTTCAACTCCCAGAATTCCCCAGCCAGCATTCACTGTCTGGGGAATTCTGGGAGTTGAAGTCCAGACATCTTCAAGTTATCAAAGTTGGGAAACACTGCTCTAGAGTCTCTCTCTCTCTCTCTCTCTCTCTTGTTTTTACTAAAGCCTATAAAAGCATAGGAGTCTGTATGAAATAAGACTAAAATAGACTTAGTTCAGCATCCTTTCTCTGCTAGCTGTCTGTGGGAAAACCACAAGGAAGATAATGAGGACAACCATCTTCTTTTTCTAAATCCACTCCCTTAAAATTGCATTTGGCAACATGTTATCTTTAAACGTGGTTCAAAATAGCTCAGACCTCTGATAGACTGTTTCTCATGAGTTAGGAAACTACTTCAGCCAATAGTCATGTTGATATTGTGTGGCAGGAAATTCATGATACTGACCAAATAATTTCATGAAGACATAAGTGGTTGCCTGATCTTCTTCCAGTCAGCACTACTGACTGTACCATGATCTTGCTCACATTGAGGTAGGAGGAACAGGATGGGCCATCAGTCTTTGGTACTGCTTTGTGTCTAGCAGTTGCTTCAATTTTACCTCCTTGGGATATATTCAATTATAACTCTCATGCATTCAACCATGGGTGTAAATCAGAGGTGGGTTCCTACCAGTTCGCACCAGTTCGGTAGAACTTGTTCGTCAAATCTATCAAACCAGTTAGAAGAGATTCCACCAGAAAGCAGGCCACACCTACAGAAGAGGTTCCAAAAATTTTTGAAACCCACCACTGACACACACAGACATACACACAGACATACACACAGACATACACACACACACAGACTCACACAGAGAAAGAGAAAGAGAAAGAAAGGAAGAAAGAAAAAAAAAGGGAGAGAGATGAAAGAAAAAAAGGAAAAAGGGAGAGAGATACAAAAGGAAGCAAAGAGAGAGAGAGAGAGAGAGAGAGAGAGAGAGAG